AAAAATGCACATGGAATCTCCCTTTACTTAGCTCCTGAGGCCAATGAAAGCTTGGGGCTTCTCTTGAGCTGAAGATCTGAGGCTGCAAAGCAAAAGGATTGCTGAGAACAATTACAAAGCACCTGAGAAAGGAAGCTGAATACAATCTATGAAAGGAAAATGAATACTACAATCAATTACAAAAGATCCCTCACCAGGAATCCAGATTTGTTTTGGTGATAGTTTATTATAGAAGTCCCCCTGTTTGTTTGAGGGGGGGGGGGACCCCCCTTTACCAATCAGGATCCAACATTACACAGAAATGACATATGAATACATATGACATATCTAAAGGACGCACAGGCAGAATTGTTACCTCCAAAACCCACCAAAGAGCTGGCTGAGTAAGCTGTGGGCACTCTGAAAAGCTGACATACTTTGTACATTGGAGAAATCCTCAGATGGCGCTGGGCAAATGGGAATTCGGGTTGAAAGCCGAAAACGATAATAAGAATCTTCCGGAGTTGTTGATCTCTCATGACAAGCGCAGCATTCCGACGAACTCCGTTCTGCTCTATGCAGGCAAAGGGCTTGAAAGCATCAGGCACACCACCGGCTTAAAGCCGTTGTCCCACCAGCATTTCCATGTCTGCCTACTACATATCAGTCTAGAAACAACTCTCTGACAGCATACCTCCCATCTGCTGTCAGTGCAGAATAGCTTGAAATTAGTGTGGCAAAATGGACTTATATAACACCCCTTAGTCAGGGGCTCAAATTCACACAAAGAGAAGAGAAGCACAGAGAAGAGAAGACTTTAGTTTGGTCATTTTCATGCTGACCACTCCACACCTGGTCCAAGCCCGGCAACCATGGAGGCGCATGCGATACACCCGTCATTTGCCCACGGAATAATTCCGCCAAACGGTGTGTTCTTTCGCTCTGAAAGCCCTCATGAGAGAACCATTTATTGCTAATGGCTGGGCGGGTATCCAAGTTCTTTGTATAGGTCGACTTGTTGGCTGGATCTGAGAAGTGCATTTGTACTGCCTGGGCCTGGGCATAAGCACAATGCGGCGTTAGCAGCTTAGCACACAGCAGGACTCTGAATCTTCGTGCCTATGTCAAATGCTTCATTTAGTGATCCCAAGAATATGTTCCGTCTTCACTAAGTCACTAAGGAGAATTTGAATCTTAGAAAAAGCTGTTGAAGTTTGCACACACACACACACTGCCTCTCTCTCTCTCTCCAACAAGGGCTTCGGTCAGTTGACAGCTCCTTGAATGAACGTGACGCTGACAGCTCTTTCTTGCGACAAAGGGAGCAGAAGCTGGGACACTTGTTGTGGAAAATGTTTAAAACGTTGGCAAAGCAAAGTTGGTCAGAGAGAGCACTGCAAGGAGAGATATCCTCCAAGACATGCAGAACCTCACCATCCTCTCTGCTATGCAGGGTTGCAAGTGCAGCTGCTTTGCATGTTCTTCGGCAAAGCAAAATGAATCATGATCGAAACTGAATCGAACATCATAAAAGAAAGCAGGTTGAATTGACCGTCAGCAGTCAAAACAAGCCCAGACATCAAATCTAGATGGATGTGGCTTGTCCCATGTTTAGGGCGAATATCTTGGGCATGCCTCATAACACTTGGGGTGGTTAGGCTATGTCAATGTCAGTATTTCTTGCCACAACCAAATTGTCCTACCATCGAAACATGACCCAACAACTGCTTCGCCTCTGCAACAAAAAAGGCCCTCACTTGTTCTCTCGTCATCAACCGTGCTTCGCTAGACATGTGTGGGAGAATTTCAGAAAGCATCCCTAAATTCCACCGGCAGAGGCCTTCTGCTGTAGATATTGAGCCACATTTCAAGACTCATAGGCAGCCTGCAGAGCTCGCATTGTCTCCTGGGAGTGGTGATGTCGGAAGCTTGTGTAGTGATTCTGTATGCTTCAAGCCGCTGCACATGGTCAGCTCTCAGAATCAAGAGGGCCCCGAATCCAGATATAGGTTTGAGCAGTCTTGTCTCTTGAAACAAAACTGGTTTACTGCTCACACATTTGACTGGGTCTGCCGACAGCAGAGGGAGGTCCCCTTGGACAAGGTATGATCGGTTCACACCAAGGACCTCAGTCCACGGCTCACCAAACATCTTCTTGCCCAGCAAGTGAACACTTTCAACACCTGCAGAACCAATAGCAGCACCGCGTAAGTCAATGACTCCGAAGTTACATATATCATAAAGGTAACACCTTGTATTAGGAACATGTAATGATCAGTGAATTAGTGGTGACATGAAAGAAATTGCTGGAGAAGATCCTATCCCTGGTTTGCGCCCTGTAGCCCGCCACATGATATGAAACACTGCTTTCACGTCCTTCTGTATGCAGTTAGCAGGACAGCTCAGACTGAGCACACCGGCTGTCGCCTATTCGATGAGTCCCACCCAAGGCCTGTCACCGGTGCAAAGGGAGGGCGTCGGACTAAAACTACTCGTCTACGGCCAAATAATCAAAACTCCCAGGCAAACTATTCAATTAAATCTACCAACAACAACGACGACGACGACAACGACGACAACGATGAAGCCAAGTCCAATGCTCATTTCTCAAGATGAGGCAAATTTATGTAAGCACCCTGCCTTAAACCCAGTATCCTGCTGTGATTTATCACATGGAATCGACCATGATTCCTGTCGTGTCCCCCGCATCAAAGCTTTGCCTCCGGGATCCATTTGGGATCCATGACTTCGCTCAGAACCTCAGCGACTCACACTTCACAGGTGCAAAGCTCGCATCACAAAACCCTTGCTTGCACAGCAGCTGCACGAGCATTCCGTGCACCAATATAGCTCTTGTCTTCAAGATGGTTGCGATTCTGTTATATAGCTATATAATGCTATATATTTATGACGTGCGGAACAGACGAAATGCCATCAGTTCGAACAACGTAAACCAAACAACAAATCAAATGGAATACCTGAATAGCTCCAAGAAAATTAGTTTTTTTGATATCTTGCTGTGGGTTGCAACAAGTTACAGAAAATTGCGACTAAGTAATCGGCAACAAAGTGCCTGTTGTACAATTTGTGTGGTTTGCCAGAGCACAGTTTAGACAAAAAGAATATCAAAACTGTTTTAGAAGCCAATTTGACCTAAAGGCTGGCATTTGACAAGGCTTGTAAAAGTAAAACCTTTGAACATGTGCTGTCCTGTGACTAACTGGTGATGCGCCAATCTAGCTTGACAAAAGCAACACAAGCTTTGCCAGGGCACTTTCATCGTGTGCTGTCCATCTGCAATTTGAATCTTGGCTCTGGTGCCCTCGTCCTGTCATTGGAGTCATAGTCAGCTGTGCAACATCAGGAATGATGACTCACAGCGGTGTGAGCCCAAAGTTTAAATTTTGCCAGCAGCACGAAGAAGTGCGAGGCTATATTCCATATAGTGTATGCCAGCCGAGGAACCCGAATCGCAATCTGACGAGGTGGCTGAAGTGCAACCAGGGTTTTTTTGGAAAGAAATAACACATAGACCTATCTGCTGAGTGCACGAAGGCTGCTCCAAAGTCAAGAGTTCTTTGAGCTCCAAGAATCCAAAAGGCCAAAAGGTTGCTGTGAACATTATATCATGTGAGGATTAGCATTCTGAGCCAGCGACAATGCGTTTCACTAGTTCAGGAAAATTATCTTCCAGAGTCCTGACACAAACCTTGTACCTGACGAAAACAATCGAAAAAAAGAAAAGGCGGAATGTTGCAAAACAAGCTTGTTGGTGTGTAAGGGAAAAGCCTTCATAGTCGTTGTGCCCAGGCCGCTGCAAAGCCAAGTCTTCAGAGACTTTTCTAAACGGCTTTTCAAAACGGCTGAACAAGCTTGAAGCTGAATTCTGGCTCACTTCATGATGCCCTTGATGTTGAAGCTACGCCAGCCTTATTCACTTGAAAATCTTTGGTGCAAAGTGCAAATCCTCGAAAACGGCATTGAAGAAAGCAAATGGAACTGCGACAGACTTCCAATCAGCCCACCCTAGAAACCAGCCACATCATCGATCTGTCCGTTGACTTTGCTGCTTCGCGGCTAAGCTCTCCCAGGTCGGCGACCACAGTGAAATTCATGATCTCGGCACAACCACGCGCTGCAGAGGAAGGTTGATTCCTCTTGAGAGTCAACCAATTGGCGCCTCTCATCTCCTAGTATTCTGCTGATGGATGTTGCTAGGTCTTGTTGCTTGACGCTATGTGTCAAATTACCACCCTTCAATTGGTCTCCAGCCGGCTTGTTGTTCAGCCTTGAAGCTTCTTCCATCGCCTCCAGCTATGATAGTCGGCTAGTTTCTATGCCCAACTGAGGGTTTCTTCGCGAGCAGGACAAACATCTGATACACTATGAAGGGAAGCATCTTTGGCACCACTGTAGACTATGGACGACAAATGTGAATACTGTATATAAATAGAGAGCTTTTCAAATCAGCTTTTCTAATCGGCTTGCTGATGGCACGAGTAGTTTTCGAGGCTCGTCACAGCTTCACAAGAACAGTTACACTGCGTAGCTCAATGTATGCCTTCCAAAAAGAGTGAAATAAAGTGAGATGTGTTAAAAAGAGTTCCCTCTGAAAGCTCAGCCTGCATCAGGCGAGTGATGGTGTAGACTTCATGTTGCACCAAGAACTCAGAAGGTGCCTCCCCAGAAGGCTGCCGGCGGGAAGCAACACAAGTCCAGCTGTTGAGCTGTTGGACGCACCTGCTCTAGAAATTCCAAGTTGCCAAGGCCCATCCTGCAATTCATCAGGCCCAGTGCATTGGACTCCATCTTGAATCGATTGTCACTGAAACATTGTATTGTGCAGGTGATTCAAAGTTTCAGACACATCTTCTGGACAGAGCGCTCCTGTTCCAGTAGACAGGATCACCATCGTAGTCCTTCCATGACAAGTGTCCGACTGTTTTAAGAGCTTTTGGAAAGGTACTTCATGTCATGTGGAAGGACTGCCTCTGACACATCTTTGGGTTTACCCAGCTAACCTTTCAGAGTCTGGAACCAGCCTGATGTTTAGCTATTCACTGCCAAAACCGAAACATTCCAGGGATGGTTGGAAAGTCCGTGTGTCTGCCAAGATTAAGGGATTCAAAACATCTTGGCTCTTCACGGAATGTTTCAACCCCCACAGCTCGTGCCTTTTAACCTGGACCCCCCAAACCGCAGGTTGTGCACGAGCAAAGTCCCAATTGCTGCATCGCCAGTGAGGGTTGACATGCCCTAAACAAAGAATATGACCTACAGTGGCACTCTGAAACACTCTGAGAAACCACTTCGGGTGGTGCCCTTCCGTTCTCGCCAAAATAGTTGGAGTCCTTGCCCATGAGCCCAGTCGGAGGCCAGCAGCTGTCGACCCTCCGATGCAGCCTCATAGACTTGGAAGAGTGCAGAAAAATGCGTTGGTCTATATAGACGTGGTGTGCAATGTCAAATTGTTTTTTGGGGGCCTGCGCCGCGCCTAGTTACAGTAATCAAGCAAGGGAGTAGACAGTAGACTTGTTCACTCCTAGCTACTTGGGCGCCACTACGGAGGATATAGCTATATAATGATTTGGTTCCTAGATATTTAGGGAAAAAAATCCTGTGAATTGGCCAATCCGTCGAACAATGACAAGCGCGGTGCATGTCAAACTCTCTGCTTGACAGGCGCTGTAAAACTCGTGTCACTAAAAATCATATTACTCACAATTACTCACAGGCCCAAACCAATCGTCCTTGTTGTTCAAGCGGAAGCCGAGCTCATAGCCAGTACCCTCTCGCCACCTCCAAGCTTAGCAAGCCAAAGGTCACGAATTCCTCCATTCCTCTGGGTCCTTCTAGAAACCAAGTCCAAACAAACAATCGGACCTCATGGCAGTTTCGTACATTTTGGCGGCGGCTTCCACGCCTCATCACGTAAAGCACATGGCCCCTCGCTGAGACAAAAACATGCAACTGCAGCATGCAACTGTAATCACCCACTATCCAACATGCAATACCCAGGGAAGGTCACATCTCCAGGATCACCAAATCCCAACAAAATGACAAAGTTTTAATTTAAGAAAACAGAAATGAAAAAGAAGGTGGGGCCCACTTTAAAGAGGCTTTGCGCCCGTACCCCTTTGTTGTCAACTGTTTCCTCTCCTTTTGTTCCAGTGAGCGTGCGGAGAGTCTTCTTCTCATTTTACGGCGGGGCACTCCCTTGTCGAGCTCGGAGGAAGCGTAGGATAGTGATGGGATCCTCAACAGTCAACAAAAATCAACTTGTCAGTCGATTTCATTTGTGTGTTGGAAGTTACGTTCTTTATTGTCCATGGACTCTTTTCGAGGCAGTCCAAACTCGGCGTAACAAAAACATGAACTGGGTCGCTATGGCTTATGAAACACCCCTCAAAACATCTCAAAACTGTGTTCAAAGGATTCTTTCTCAAATTGGTGTGACCTGGAACCCCAACCCCAACCCTACGCCTATACCAAACTCCTACCACCTCAGAGTTCATCAACGAGTGCAGCAAGCTCTTCTTTCAGAACCACAAAAGCGCCCTCCTTGGACCCTCTCACATGTCGAACTCGCTCCCGAAGCTCACGGCACTTCATCCTCTCACAAGCCGCAGCACAGGATGAAGGCTTAGCAGTGACAGCAGCAGTGTGTCTGTGTGTGTGTGATGGTACCTTTCGTCGTCCCCACAAGCTGGAAGCATAAACCTCAGGGGTCAGAAGAACTCTCAATCACCCCACCGATTCCTTTCGGCTAGAGACTAGCGCATCCTTCAAGAAAACTCAGCAGCCCTTGCTACGCCAAGGCGAGCACTCCCAATGCGGCGGCACATTGCTCCCCAGCCTGTCCACTTGAAGTGCTGTGAAACAGAATTAATGATCATTTCGATTCATCACAATGACCAGCAGTAGCACTTAAATAATGTCCTTTAATTTCACCTGTTTCTGCTTGTCCTCCAGGCTTTCTATTTTTTTCTGCCGTGGGCACTAAAGTGTCCGTAGGCCCACGATGCGACAGCTTTCAAAATCTCCGCGCGAGAGCCATGTGATACATTTTTTGGCTTTGCCTTTCCGTGTTTTCATATTCCGTCCCTTCGTCCGAAAAGTTATCGCAGATGTGTTTGTGTGTGAAATGGCGCCATTGCTGTCTCGGACCTCCAACCCTCGCTTGCAGAACTGGGCGCATAAGTGAGTTGTCTTAATGGGTCACCATTATGAGTTCTAAGAATATGTCCAGCTAATGCAGCTCTCTTTTTGAGGAGGAGGTCCGAAAACGGATTTGTTGTCCAGCGTGTTCAGAAGCAGTTCTCAAGACAAACTCATTTGTGTTTCTTCGATTGACAAAAGTGGTCTCCAGCCCCAAAATCGATCTCAGGCCACGAAGGTGAAATACATTTATTTTCTTTAACGTGCTTTGGGTGAGGTGAACGGTTTCCAACCCATAAATAAGTTTGTTTTGGATTACCGCATGATAGACGCGAAGCCTCCATCTAGGGTGCAATTTGCTGCTTGAGAGAATGGTTTGAGTTTGAACCATGTTTTCATGGTTTGCTGCATTCTTTGACCCACTTCCTGTCTTACATTCACCCGCTTGTCGCCCAGATTTACCAAAGACTTGCACTGGGTGGTGTGATGTCCCAGGTACGTACATTCAGTGCGCTTCGTAAGTCTGGTCCCATCAGCAAATCTGATCACGTTGTTTCCATTCATCGCTATATATATATATATGAACATTTACCCCTGTTGAGCAGGAGTCCAAACTGCTTCGAAATCCTTTCTACGGCCCAAAGTATTCGGTTGGCAGCGTAAGTATTAGTGGCGAGCAGAACAGTATCATCGGCGTAGTAGACTATCAAAATCAATGCCAGCCTTTCTTGACCTACTGGTGCGCCTGTCAAGACTATGAGAAATATCATGGTCAACTACACTCATTACCAGCACAAAAAGGTACGGACACGGGTCTGAATAACAATTCTTTATCACATCAATGAAATGTTCATGGACTCCAAGTCTACGTAGCGCATATAGCTTATCATGCTGTACCTTGTCAAATGCCTTTTCCCAATCAAGAAAAGTTATAATTTATAATTAGATTAGAACCTTGTTGTTCCGCGATATCTTGCATTCTTCGAGTGAGGAACAACGCGTGAGAAGTGCTCCTAGAAGGTCTAAACCCAAATTGTGTCTTAGTCAGAACATCCTCCAAAACGGTTTGCAGGCGTTTTCTGATCAGAATCATGTAGATTTTGTAGAAAGAATTCAACAAAGAAATTGGTCGATAGTTGGAAGGTTCATCAGTATCACCTTTCTTGTATATTGGTACAACCCTGGCAAAAGGTCATTAGGGGCGACCTTGTTATCCCACCAGAAATTTAACAGCCTCAGGAACCAAGATTTGCTTTCATTGTTCATCCATTTGAATAGTTCCATGACGATTTTGTCAAGTCCAGGTTTTTATTTGGATTCAAATTTCAAGCATTAAATTTAAAAAAGAAAAACATTTAGGTATTTGTTTGAAAGCTTGTTTCCAAAGCATGTTTGTTCTTCGTGATTTTGATTTGAAGTACGTTTTTTAGGAACATGCATTTAAAAAAAAAAATATATATATATATATTGAAAATATAGTTAAAACATTTATTATCCAAAACCAGCTTTCCCAAGACTCTCACTATCCTAGCAAGCTACGTTTCCACAACTTGCTGTAAAGTTGTCTGTTCTGGTCTGTCGCGCCCTTGGTCCCTGACGGCTCTGCCAGGAAACGGTCCAGTGAAGGCATAGAGCCGGGCTCCTGAAGCGACCGTAGACCCTCACAATCCGGCTCCTGAAGCGGTCCTAGTAGCGTCCTTGCTCCTAGTAGCGATGCCAGGAGCCCCTAGTAGCGTCCTTGCTCCTAGTAGTAAGGCCAAGATTTTGCTGCCTTAAGACGATATCCGCAGAACTTTGGGTGCAGGGTGGAATCATCTTGCAACCACCTGGCTTCGCCAAATCGGCAAAGCGGCAAAGGTTCGGTTGTGAACTCACCGAGGTGCTTCCGAGAAGAGTGGCCCGTGCAATCTGCCAGTCAAACATGTCGTGACTCACATAGGAAGATCAGGGGCGCCTGCTGCAATCATGTTGCAAAATCTCATTGATTGTCTAATCCCATCAAGTCTGGAATACTTCCTCGCTGTCTTCGCATACATCAGAAAAAATTGTGTGAAGCAGTGAAGCCACTCCAAAGTGATTGAAATCCAACTGTTGAGGTCCTTCAAAATAATATACACTATACATATGTATATATATTGTTAATCTAGCACTGTAGACTGAACGTGGAAACCCTGTCCACCTAAATCGAAAGGTGACCGCACCTCTTTCACGCTGATCGATACGTCCGCCCTCCCGCCCTTTCAGCGGTCCGAACCACGGCGTGTGAGCGAGACAACTCGAGGTTGGTTCCGGGAAACTTGTGAGTTTCACACACCTCTTATTTTCTTCTTTTGTCCTACCTCACTCCCTTTTTGGGATAGAAGACTGTCTCGCCCACCCACGGAAAAGGTGTTCGCTTGTGCGCCAGAGTCCCGACCCAATAACTTCGTTCACCTGCACATCCCCGTTGATGGGTGTCTCTATAGACCTCCAAACCCCTAAGGTCAATAGGGCAAACAACAACCCCTAGGTGTGAAAAGTTGATACCTAGGGACTACATGCACACGGATCACTTCTCCGTTCTTGCCTCTTCTCCAAAAATCCGATGCATGGCCTTCTGTTCCGGACTGTCCTACTAACATGGCTTCTTCTTCTTTCGATGGTTCATTTTCTGAACGGTGCTGTTTCACCCATTTCAGTCGTTCTCGAGCGGTGAGTCTGTTCTTTAGAGTATAACTCTCATCCTGTAAGACATAGCGACCGGTCCTCAAACACTCACGTAGAACACTACTATCCATAGTCTTGGTCAGTCTGCTAGCATTGCTTGAGAACTCACCCATCTGACGGCTGCATTGTCGCGGATTCTTTCGCGAATCAAGAGACATTCTATTGTCGTCCTGTGCTCCGAGCATTGTGGCAATGCGGTTCTTGTCAACAAATCATAGGCAGATTTGCAGTCAGTAACCAATGCACCACTGTTCTCTTCCAACAACAGTTTCTCAGGGTTCTTCCAGTCACAATCCGGTCTTAACAAAGTCGCCCAAAGAACACGGATCCACAGTAAACGATCAGCCGAATTGCTAAGTGCTGCCGCCTCTGCTCCTAAAGTGCTTCTGACAACACGGGGTATCTTCTTACTATACCAGGCTACAGGGGCCACAACTGCCTTCTGATTATCTAAGAGCTCTGGTGTTGTAGTAAAGATAATTGTCCCTTGGTGTGCTGTCGTGTGTTCGACACAGGAGAAAGAGGCATCTGAGAAAGCACAGTAGGTCTCACCTTGTCCGGGTGGATAGGTAGAACCATCAATGACACTCTGTTCTGCTTGGCTTCTGCCAGAATCTTGTTCCCAAGAATCAGATTCTTGACTCGGGCTTGAGTGACATCGCTCTGTAACTCTCCCACTTTTGCAGCCATGTCCGGTCGACTGTGGACAGCTGCGTACTGTAAAGCACCGATAAGGCTTCTGAAGGCTGTTCTTTCGGTTTCTGTCACAAGGGATTCCGGGTCATCTCTTCTTCCCTTTCCAAGAGGAATTGGACTGATTTTCTCAATATATGCTATCTGGTCATATTCGATCGACCCATCGTCCCACTGCTTGAACCAGATTCCAGTGTAAGTGAACTCACCTTCTTCGAAAACCCCAAATTTAAATCGGGCTTCAACGCGACGCAACATCTCCATGAACTTCTGACTGCCACCTCCTATCCCATCATCAACATGGATTCCGAGACAACCCTCAAACTTTCCACCAACATGATAAGTGAAAACACACGGATCGAGAGGTGACTGTCGGCAGCCTTCTTTCAACAGTTCGTCCCGGAACTCACAAAACCAAAGAAAAGGGGCATCTATCCTACCATATGCTCCCCCATCCAATTGAACCTGGTCCGTCTCTGTCATTCCTAAAGCTTCTCGCATTTCCGGAACGGGTACAAGGCCTAGGGGTCGTCCATCTCCTCGTCCGTGAAGAAAGGCGGTCGAGATATCGAAGGAAATTAGTGGCCATCTGTGACTAGCAACCCCTTGAAGTACGATCATCCTACCGTCCTTGGAAAGGGTGGGTGCGTCGTTGGTGACATTGTCTAACTCAGGGTCTTCCCAACCGATCACTATGAGACGAGCTTTGGCCTTCTTCCCTTCATTTGATAAATCCTCTGGATTCTCATCCCCCGTGGGAGATTTCCAGACATACAGCCATCTACATCGCATGATCGCGCGGTCGGGAATCTTTCCCTGAACAACCTTCCGTATGGTCTTATGTTTGAGCCACGCCGTCAACTCCTTATGCTTAGCCACTGCAAACCGCTTTTGATCTTCCTTTAAGTTTCACCTCAGTTCGTTTCTTCCGGTCGTTGACTGCGGCCAAGACCAGAGCATCTGGCGTTCCAAAAGGCTCATCGGCAAAACTGGATGGTGTCACATCAATTTCCCAAAAATAATCTTGGCAGTAGTCAGTCTGAAAGTACACAGTGTCACCAAAGAAACCATCTTCAGAATCAGGTACTGGTATGTTTACCCCATCAGTAGGTACACTATCACCTTCATCCATTGAACCCCTTCTTGTCGGAGCGGAGGCTTCTCGTCAGGTTCAGGAATCAGAGGCTCTTCACTCTGTTCAGGTTCCACGGGAGGCTCCGGGTGGTCTACATCTGGTTCACTAGGTTCGGGCAGGTCATCAGGATCCAAGTCAAAGAAATCTTGGTTCCCAACTTTTCGAATCCAGTCTCTGGTGGGCACCTTAAACTCTTCTCCATCCTTGACAGCCTTCCATTCTCGCATCGACGCAGATCGCAATTGTTGTGAGCTTGCGCGGATCAAACGGTGAGCATGAACAAGCCAAATCACTCGTTTATTTTCTACTAACGCGACGCGAGCGGGCCCGAACCACTGTCCTCGTTCTCTTCTCATGTTTCCCCCCTTCCGTTTCCAGTATAACACTAGATCTCCTACTTCAAAGTTCTCATGAACAGGCCTACTCCGTCTCAACATAACTCGACGTAGACTGTTTGAGTTGTCCATGGAGATGAAAGCTTTTCTCGCAGCTTCTCTGAGGTCCAGGGACTGTTTGAAAGGGCTGGTGGGATCCTCTAGTGCCTTCATGTGACCAAAGGTGTCCTCGTCAGAAATTGTTGAACCTGGAAGCCTAGGAGAGATGCCCAAGACTGCTTGCTCCGGAGAGTATCCAGATTTTCGGGTGAGGGCATTCTTTGCTTGGCAAGCTTGAATTAGGGCTTGACGAAACATTTCCGCATCTTTAATTGGTCTCTCTACATCCATGCGAGTCAACATGCCTTTTAGCACAGCTCCATGCGATTCGACACGACCCAGCTGCCAATGTGAGTCCCGAGCGGAAACCTTCAATGAGATACCAAGGTCTTGTGTTCTTCCCAACCAAAATTCACTCAAGTATCCCTTGGCAGGATCTACGTACATCACCCTTGGGGGACCGGCCCAAGCAAACCAATATTCTTCAAGAAACCTCCACTGCGATTGAGAGTCTGAACCACATGGCCTAGCTACTTGAAAAAGTGTCCCTTCATCAATGGCATGTGTGAACTCAAAAGTGTCTCCTGTGGCGTTTGTCCAAACAACTCCATCCATGCCTATCGTGTGATTAAAACCAATGTTCTCATGTATCGATCCGGCACGAGGGAGGTCGAAACCCCGACGAGACTCCGAGCAAGCATCACACTGAAAGTCCCTGACACCTTCAATCAATGCAGGCTCTGCACTTGTTGATTTCAAATAGCGTACGAGGGTTTCGGGGTCAGGGTGTCCCAAACGATGGTGTATCTGTCGTAGGTATTTCTGTTTTTCTCCATCAAGATTGAGAAAACCCGGTCCATGCCTAGCCAAATTTCTTGGGGGGTGACCAATCAATTCTTCTTCTGTTGATTCTGATGGCTTCTCTTTTGGTTCCTGTTCACTCACTTCTTTGTTCCCATCTTCCATCTCGTTTCCCGGTTTGTGTCGTTTGTCTCCGTCACACTCGTCAGTCTCCTGGTGTCTTCTTTTACCTAAGATTTCTTTCTCCAAGTCCAAAGGCTCTTCAGGTACTACTTCCATGTCCCCAACATGATGTCCGAACAAGGTCAAGGTTAAACGGGAGGGTATGCCTTTTCTGATCTTCTGTCGTTGAGTCAAATTTGTCCACTCCTCTTCATCTCCAACCTGTTGTATTCGACCGGTCGAGCGACACATCGAGAACGTCTTCCGAAGTTTCAAATCTTGAAGAGAAGTTCCTGCCTTCGGTATGCGCATGCGTTCTGTTCCTCTACATACCTCAGCATGTTTCAAAAGGAAGCTACAAAAAGTCTGCGCTTTCTTGAACGCTTGTGTATCCCTTTCCAAAACAATTGAACCAACTCTGGGGGCCAGTTTATCCAATTCCAAAAACAGTTCCTTCAGACGTTCCTCGGAGACCGATTTCCGATGTTCATCCGTTTCGAACGAATCTGATTTGTCTGGAGTGTGTACAGTCTGTTTCGACAACAACCGACGACGTTTAATCGCTTCTCCAATTAAAGCGACATCAGGTTCCGGTCCGATCCGGAGTTCATCTTGCAACAGCGGCGGTTCCTCTGGAAATTTCTGTACAACGCTGACGACTTTCCGAGCAAAGCCTGCAGTGTACTTCGCAGCAAAGGTCGACAAAGGAAGCCACTTTCCCAGATGTTTCACCTGGCCCTCAATCTGTCTGTGGGTATGTCCTTTGCTACAGTACCTGCTGTCTAAAACCTCATGCAAACATCGGGAGGTCGTCAAGACTACACTCCGCTTTTGAAGCGGATCGCCTTTCCAGTTCCGGCTGCACAAGAAGTTCTGAACCCACTGGTTGTTCAAGATGGAAATGATTACCGTGTTGAACCTGATACCAGTACATCTCTTCACAAAGACACAAATTGGGTCTTTCTTGTTCCCTCCCCTCCAGGATTCTTTCCCTCATCTTCAGACTTCGACCCATGTTCCTCCTAGCAAAATTACCCCACAGTTTACAGTCAGGTGAGGCCCAGATGTGTCTGGGTCGGTGTGCTTCGATGATCCTCCAGAGACTTGCTTGTCCCTCTGCCGTGCGGAGATCACCATCCTGGAGTGTAAATCTTTTGGCCCGAAGGCCCAACTGGTTTGCAACTCTGGTCAATTGGGAATCCGGGAAACAATAGACCTCCAGGATGTCCAGTCTCTCTTTCGAATTGGTGGTTCGTGGTGCAAATTGTCGTGTCTGTATGTCAGCTGAGTGTGCTGCTAGTACTGCAAGTTGGTGCTCAATCTTTTCCACTAGATTAGCTAACTCCTGGTCAAAGAACTTGTTAATAGGAGCGTCCATACTGGCCAAACCATCTTCCAGGGTACCAGTAGCATCATAACTCAACTTCTCTATTGGTGGTTCTATGCATCCTCGGCTGGCATCAGGTGCGACAGTTCTCTCTGCAGAATTGCGATCTGCGCCTGAATTTGGTGCACTCGCTCCTGCGTCTCCTTCGCGAAGTCGACATTCATCTTCTGGGTGGTCTCGGTGGTCGGCGGTCCACGTTTGGCATTGGTCGACCCACTTGCCAAAGACGTGATCCCGAACTGGACTTCCGAGCTGCCCTTGCCCTTCAACTCGTCGATGATGTCCCAGTCGGTGGCGGTCTCCCCATTCTGGTTCCAGTCTTTGCGCACCTGCTGGATCATCGAGGGCGTCAACACCCGCTGTTGTTGGTCCACCGAGACGGACCGGTCCATCTGATCCATGGCCCTCACATAGTTGTGAAAGCTCAGGGCCCAGGCTGACGTGCAATCGCCCTTCTTCTTCATGTACTCGGCATAGCTCGCGTCGATGGCCAGGGCCTGTGCAAAGGTCTTGCCAACATGTTTTCCTCCTGCCAGCTTCTGCTCTCCCCATTCCCTGAGGGTCGTCACCCCCGGTGGCTTGACAATCGCCACCTTGCTGTCCATCGGCAGCATTGACAAGGTGGCATCCTCCTCGAGGGGCAATGGAGCATCCATGCAGCATAGGCTGGATTCATCTTCTTGGGCGCCATCTTGAGTGGTGCTGGACGGTGCTTGCTCGCGGATGCTTGATGCTTGGTGCGCTGCTGTCGCGGAGGTGTTGTGTTGTGGAGTTCGTCCGTCAGTTGTTAGTCCGTTCTTAGTTTCATCAACTGAATGGGTGACGACCTCCCAAGATTCCCCGTGCACTCTCACATTCTCAGCATGTTTCAAAATCTCAACAAGATCAACTAGAAACAAGCCTTTCTCACTCATGGCTAGGGGTACACTCACACGTCCATGAAACATGCACAAAACTTGCTTGGAAGTGCAAATGTCCGCTGCAACTGCTTTCAAGAAGGCGTTCGATAAAAGGAAAGGAGTGGCTCCGTCGACAACCTCTAACTTCAGCCAACGTTCACCGAACGGAATGAAAACTGCTCCCAAACTAGCTAACGTTCCGTTGTTGCCAAAACGAAAAATCGTATTTGACTTCTGCCATGCAATCTTCTTTGCAAAAATGTCCGGAAGAGTGGCCATCAGCTGCTCTAGCCTCTTTTTTCCAATCACTGACTTACTAGCTCCTGTGTCCAAGATAGCTGTGCCACCATGATCTACAAAAAACATCGGCTCAAAGCGGGTCTCATGCCTGACACGTTTTCCCATGGACTCTGAAAGACCCTTCTTCAGTGACCGTTTCATGACATCCAAGGATAGAGCAGCAAAAACGAATTCATCATTAACATGGGCCTTCCTTTTTGGATCCCAACAAAAATTTGGGGGGCATTGTTCTTTCCCGGCCTGGTCGTCGTGAGATTCATGTTCGGTCATCATCGCCAGGTCAGGTTCCATCAGCGTTTCCGCCTCTGTGTCCTGAATCGCAATCCCCTGCTGGTTCATGGGCCACCACTCAGGTAGGGCGTGTTCAAGGGAAATGGGTAGCTTTTCCACCACCTCAGATTCCTGATCTCCATAGGTCTCGCCAACAAGGGTGGACACATGGATCTCCGCAGGAGAGGCATTGGGGTTTCCTGCGTTCCCTTTGTTCGGACACTCTTGCCGCCAGTGTCCTTTGGCCCCACATAGACGGCAGTTCGAATTGGCGATCCTGTCAGCGAGTGACTGCCTCTTTCGGAAACCGCCCTTCCAAGAGCTTTTCTTGCCACCTTTGTGTTTCCCTTTTCCTTTGACTGGTGGCCAAAAGCCTCTGGCACGGATCTTGTCTCGAACTCTGCCACGGGCCTCCGTGTAAGCTGAAAAGCACATGCTCAAATCCACATTGTCTTGACAAGCTTCAATCAGCTGGTCTTCAAACTCAGACACCAGCAGTGCGTCTTCGTCGCCCTGCTCCATCAACAACATGATGCCCGCCTCATCGTCCTGGATGAAGTCCTCCTCAGCGACAAAAGCCGAAGCCTGTCCATCATCATCATCTTCCACATAGTTCACGGCATACACTTCCTTCTTGGTCTCAACGCCGGTGTTCCCCACGAGGATCTTTGGGGCCAATTGCCTCATGGCATCTTCAACCTTTTTGGCCTGTAGTGTCCCACCTGTCATAGCCAGGACTCGTTTCTTATCCTCAGCATTGAGGAAGCTCTGACGCAGCATGATGAAAGCTTTGATCTCCTGGATGGTGACATCGGGGATCTCGGCAAAGGCGACATTCATGCGGTTGACATAGGAGAACACGCTTTCATCTTGTTTCTGTTGAACCTTGTATAGTGCCCGTTCAAACTTCTCGTATGTCTGAAGTTCTGCCGAGTCCTCCCAAGCCGCAACCGTACTCAGGAGTAACTTCACACCCCCTTCTGGGTCCGAGAGTTTGGCACCATCGATCGACTTGATCTGAGCCCAAGCAGTGCCCTTCATCAGCAATGCCAATCTCGGTGCCAGCATTGCCTTGTCTTTGGCCGGACAGATGGAGAAAAGAAACTTCACCTTGTCGGAGTTCTCACGGGGATCATCGACTGACGGGTCGAAACTGGGTAGTAGACTCCAAATGTGTCCGGACTTCTCATCTTGGCTGCTTTCACCATCAGGCATGGCTCACTGTCACCCACGGTCGTGGGTAAAGTGTCTTGCAAACCTAATTGTTCAAATGCAACCGTCCTAGGTCAATTAGGAAACGAGGTAAACACCAACCCCAAAAGGTAAAACCTGTTGCCTCAACAGCTATGCCTCCTGCGGAGGCTCCGCTACCAATGTTAATCTAGCACTGTAGACTGAACGTGGAAACCCTGTCCACCTAAATCGAAAGGTGACCGCACCTCTTTCACGCTGATCGATACGTCCGCCCTCCCGCCCTTTCAGCGGTCCGAACCACGGCGTGTGAGCGAGACAACTCGAGGTTGGTATATATATATATACATATATATATATATATATAATTATATATATGTATATCCTTCCCGGCTGCTCTAGCCAGCCTCCGTAGGAGTTGTGTCTCATTACTGAGCTGCTCTCGCTCCTGCCAGCACAGCCGACCAGCGGATGACCCACGCGTCAAGTCACATTAGAAACGCGTGTCCTCGGTGTCCAACAGCAAAGATTCATCCAGTTGAAGGAGTCCTGCAAGAAAAGTGCCTCAAACCTGAAATCAACCAGAACTCAGAGTTGCTCCTGGCCTCTGCATCTGGGATGCTGCCTTTCAGGGGATGCAAATCGAATTACTAAGCTTGCTCGGCGCACGATTATTTTTATTGCCGGTTACTTCCACGTCTGTCACTTGTGCCTGCACTTTGGCAAGAAGATTTCCTCACAACAGGAGCTTGGCTTTCAAAGTGAGCGACCTCCAGGATCAGAATATTCTGGTCGCTCCAGCACTACAAATCTCAGATTTCAAGGAAACGGCCTTAGGCAGGACTGCCTCTTGCAACTCCTGCCCTCGCTTTGTCTCCCTTGGTTTGCCAGATCCTGCAAAATGACAGCGCATGTCTTTCGACACTTGCAGGACCAAAGCAACTTAAAGCAACAATGAATATAAAAACGCTATGGACTATGACTATGAGTAACCTTTTTTCGGCATATATAGACACCTGCCTCCTGCTAGAAGCCACAGAACTCCGAACAGGTTCATGCAAAGTCCAGTGCTTACCACACCTGACAGCAACAGCTCCGCAAATTGAATACGGCTAGGAACAAAATCCTAAATGGTCTCCTCTGTTGCAGAATAGAACAAACCGTTTCGGAATTCAACCCATGCCACTCATCCAGGGCCCCGAGCGCCACTGCACATCTACGCTCTGCAGCCAATCAGGCAACCACCTGACTCATGAATCTTTGGCAGATCATGAGTCGCATGAATTTGTTGTATGCAGAGTGCCAACGTTCTGTTCAGCCTGCAGACACCTGCTGCAAACACATGAATGCTTTGCCTTGGGTTCTTGCCTCTCTGTAGCTGAGCTCTCCCAGTGTACTCTGGCACCCGCCTAGGCCACACTCCAAGCTTTTTTTGGCAGCTGCAGTGCTGCAAATGCCCAAGGCACAATGGCAGCAAGCAATGAAACCAGGAGCCAAAAGAAAGGAACCTGAAACAGCACCAGCTTCCAAGCTAATGCCACTGCACCCTGTTCCATACTAAAGTTGAATCAATTCAAGTCTGGCCTGAAAGCTTCTTGCTATCAGCATCTCTGGCCTCAGTCTTAAACCGAACGTGACTCTCTTTTTTAAGCCCGAAGCCCCGCCTCCCTGCTTATAGGTGCCTACTCAATGCGCCTACTTAAGAAGGGAGGTAGTTTCTAGGAACAGGACGTAGGATAGCTCACACTTCTTCAAGGAAGCTCACCCCGCCCTAGCTTCCTTGAAGAAGCGCTCGCACTAATGATTTGGCTTCCTACAACTTTATATAGGGCCTAATTTAAGGAATTTTTAACTTCAAAATGAACAACACAAAAAGAAAACAACACTTAACTTTCATGGAGCGTCGACATGCTCAAACTAAGGCTCCAAACGGCATCACTTTGCAACAAAGCTACATTTATGTATCACATCTGGTGTTCCAGAAGAAGAATGCATCCTGCGTAAAACCTTGCGGGTAAGTCGATTGCGTACGATTTCTTTGACTGTTTGTCTGTCATTCAACTCAGAACAACCCCTTGGCGCATATGCAGTAACTAAATCATTCTGCGAAAGGCTTGAACCCTACACTTCACTGGAGAGCATAGTGTACAGACGAGATCACAGCAACTGAACTCCACAACTTATAGACGAATACCTGATTCATGGGGGCCTGTCTGTGGATGCTCCTTTGACCACAAGAAGCTGTGCCTCGAGGAACAAACATGAAATGTGCTGCATGAGTGAACCTGTCTTTGTCATTCTTTGCGTATGTATAAGCACTTGTTCTTGAACCCTACAGGCCTGCCTCCATGCCTCTGACTGAATTCTCGCACACTGCTTTTGCTTGGCAAGCAAGTTCGGCGCCGTTGATGTGTCCCGTGAAAATACCCTTGGAAACCTGCAGCCCCAAAACATTGCTCATCGCCAATACCAGTACTCAAAGTTCCCCACGAAACAGTACATTGATTGTTGCCAAAGCTTGACAGTCCGAGAACGATCAGCATGGGCGGCAGGCTCCATGTAAAAGAAGTGCAAATTAGCGCGTGCTGCACAAATCCTATCTGACCTCATGTGGAGGGATGTGCAGTCAGCTTCGCACCATCAAACAGCACTGTGAAACGTTGTGTCACGCTTCATGGCTGTCACCTAATTCCTCATTTAAGACAAACCATGCACAGCTGGCAACCGTGAGATCATAGCCAGCAGGATCAGCCTGATTGGAACAGGTGCCCTGTGTGTCTGAGACAAATGCCGCAGTGACTTGACAGGACATAATATCCAGGCTTGTACACAACAAACAAATCTCTTGGTGACTCCTGCACAACATGACAACTTCTATTTGTTCAAAGCCTGATCAGGAATTGCGAATCCTCTTGGAAGGCAAGGCAACCTCAGGCAAATTGCATAAAGGGAGTTTAAAGTCACAATATATAATACTTTCATGTGGAAATATTGCCACATATTGCCACAATCTTTTCACCCAAGCAGGCCTTCTTGTTTAAGGTCCTTCATCATGTTTAACATACCAACAGGCCATGCAGGCAACATCAACTCTGCCAAACTTCCTGCCAAACCATCCCAACCGAAAGGATGCACTTGACTCCTTAGCCGTCAGCGTAATCTCCTAAGCTCGATACCAGTTGACTCTCGGTCGTTCTCTTCCGCGGTTCGGCCTGGAAACAAGGCCAAGAGGCCTAAGAGGCGGTTCAATCAGGCCGAATCAGACAAGCCTTTCAATCCCTTCCCGTTTCCGCAAGCCTGCGTAAAGCTGTCAAAACTCCATGGTCGATGTGTCTGAACTGAACCTGCCTCATTAGCCAAAGCCTTGGCACGCTTGGGCAAGCTGCCTCCCTCCAATGCCAGCTGTCGCTGTCCTGCCCATTTGACTGACTTGCGAATCTGACAAAGCCAAGGCTAGTTCCTGCAATGATGGCAAGAATAGGGTTCACAGTATCCCCAAACACCGAGTGGTTGTGGAAAATATCACTGAAACACGCAGGACTTGATACTATCACCCAAGCGGTGATTGCTGCTAAATCACTCCAGTAGCTTATGTAGAACATGCTGGATTGGCCTTTGACTGGCACAGAAGCAGCATGCTGCAGAAGAATCTGCTTGGCACCTCAAACGGAAAGGAATTCGTAGCATGCTGCACCCACGAAGCACAGCTTGAAGACTTTAAGCGTTGCACGGCAGACTTCCACTTTCCTAAGGCACCAAGCATTTCTCAGATTTGCAATTAACAATCGACAATGGACTTTGACTATCCGGCCTAATCTCTTCTGTTTGGAATGCTGCAAGCAAAGATCGGCCATGCCTCAGCTCAGAACAGCTGCAGTGCTTTGTCTGTAGTGGATTTCTTGCGACTCACAAATTTGTCACGGCAAGCTACTCCCGCTGGAAAGGAACTTCACAAGCTTGTACTTCCCGGACAAAGTGGTCCTACACAGGCCAAACAAAAGGTTGAAAACACGACCAAACCAAACCTATTCACCTCCTCGAACAACCCTCTGGTCCTGGTTGTAGCCCCACTCTTGGCAGAGAGGCTCAATGCTTGCCACGTCCTCCCAGTTTAGAGAACAGAATACTTTTACTGGGTGATTGTTGGGGTGCCGCACCTGTGCACCTCGTGCTCTCTGAGCGGTCTTTACAAACCGCGCCAAGGCTACAAGCCATACTCGAGCAGCATACCTGATGCCCAAAGGCCCAAAAAACTCCAAAGGGACAATTTATATATCTAGCGGAACTGAATGGAAATGAGTCAACGGAAACAGCTGGGGGTCTTGGTGCGACCAAGCTGCGAGCCAGTGCTCCACTTCTTCAAAGCCAAGTTGCTGCCTCGTGCAGCTTCTTCAAGACAGAGAAAACCTCAGCACCACAACTCACTCTCGTCTGCTGAACTTTACTGAACTGTATAGTATGGCACTGCACACACACACACAAGATTGCAGCTGGGAGTCAGTAACATACGTCCGAAGCATTCACAGCATACCTTTGGAACTGCAACATGCCAATGACAATATTAGCTGTTCAGTTCACCCATTCCGTGCCTATGCTGTCAAAATAACTGCCAACATGTCATGCAAATGCCCTACTACTTTGCATGGTTTCTCCTTTTAGACAATTCAAAGTCGCGTTCGTCCAAGGCACGCGTCCGACACGGCACGCACGTTTCCAAAATGATAATCGAGGTCACCATTAAACCTCAGTTGCCAGTAAAGCGCATGCATCATTCATGATGGGGATAATTGAGACCTGTTGAAATGAAGCAAAACCTGAAGACTGAATGACAATTTGTCAACAGAAGTGTCATTCAAGGCACCAGAAGGCAAAATGGGCTGCATAACCCCGCTGCAAGTCTTCGAACGAAACTGTCGCTTGCTTTCTGCTGTTTTGGCCGCGCATTTGTACAGCAGCTGGACTCAAATCTTCCGCACTGTGCACTTTCTTCTTGTTCGGCAGCGGTGATTCGTACCCTTCCTCCACTGCAGGACGCGCAGATTGACTGCTGAGGAAATGTTTGGCAAGCTCTTGGTGCTGGTATCGGTTCTTTTCCATGGGCGCATTGACCTGCGGCGACATCATGTTGCCTGTCCAAACCATTTCATGGTTCATAGGCACGATTCCCGTTGCACCCCGTCCATTTGGAAGAACTTGAAGAGCTGGGTTGCCATTCCAAGAGTTCATTGCATCGTTCCTCTGATCGGCGTGGACAGGCACATTGGAATGACCACCATTGGATTCCAAAAACCACATTGCACCGTTCCAACAAAAGTATGCAAGAACGGCAGCGGCTACCATGCCCATCACAGTAGCCACCGCAAGTGCCAAAGCGGCAAGGATCAGTGCCATCGTCATGGTTGGATGAATTCAAAACCTCAACACTGTTTGAACACTGTGTTCCAGACACGGAACAGGAACATAAAATGTGTTTGTTTCCAATTGCCTCAACATTTCTGCGATGTGATTGATTGTAGCAATGTCTTTGTCAGATGACAATGTTGCAAACATCATCTTGGCGCCGTCGACATGCTCGTTGGGCAAAAATGTCAGAGCACAAGCAAAGTTTGGTCTGGTCGCGAATGGAATTCCATTTGCATCAGACTGATCCAACCGTCACACGGTCTTGGGATTGAAAGTGGCATGAAACTAAAACAAAATGGCCAAAAAAAATGCAACCCAGTCGGTTAATTGTTGGCCACAAAACTGACGTGATTGAAGCAAACAGAACATGTCACCGCGACCGAAACAAGATCCAGAAGGACAAGGGAATGTGTACATTTGTTCCGCCGCTTTGCATATTCATGTTCGACGCGTCAAGCAGATCTGTGATTTTCGTGCCAAAAAAAACTGGCCAAACTATTGAGCCGCGCAACAAAAAGGGAACCAAACAAGCCTACAATTTCCGTGGCAACACGAAACTCGCAGGACAGCACACTTGCTACAACAATGGAAGCACACGTTCTTCGTCTCGAAGACGTGGTGGCTTCGCACCAAACTGTTCTAGAGATGTTACAATGTTCAGGGAGAGAGTTATGCTCTCAAGCAAGACTAGATGCCCAACACACTTTTCTCACTGCCAATGATTGCTTCAGAGGTTGTTGGGATATTTTCACCAACATCTCTTGACTTCCGGCCAAGAGTACTCCGCACTTCAGAAATGACGGTCTAGGTGATCAAAAGCAAGAAAACAAATGGAATAAACAGGGATAGGTAGACCATCATTTCCAAATGAGACCCGCAGGGTATCTAAGGCTGTAAGCCAAGTTTCGGCTACGCTTCAGTTGTGAAGCTGCCAGCCTAGGTCGCCGCTGACGATTAAGACATTTTGAGAGCATACTCCAGGGTGTGGAGGGTGGGCTGAACATTGTACTCTAGAACCAAAATGGCACGCAGAACATGAAACATCACAAAACAACATGTGAAGATCACATAGTACGTTCTAGAGATGTTGCAATGTTCAGGGAGAGAGTTATGCTCTCAAGCAAGACTAGATGCCCAACACACTTTTCTCACTGCCAATGATTGCTTCAGAGGTTGTTGGGATATTTTCACCAGGCAGCATTCCAACAACACTCGGTAAAAGAATCCCTAGGCGCTCTGAGTGGCAGTGGAATGAAAAGTGTAGATGTCAATGGTGATCAAGCGACCATTGAACCGGAAAGGTTTCCGGATGAATCTGGGCTCCCCGGTGAAACGAGAAGAACTGCTCGAGGCTCATTCGATGCCTCGTATCCGCTGTGAATTTGACGGGCAAGGGATCATGAAAGTTCCATCGGTTGAGGAGATCAGCATCTTGGTTCAAACTTCCAGGAATATGTGAGATATCACAGGTCACTCGTGCCGAGACTAGGACATGTGCTAAATGTTCGACAAAATAGCACAACGGGGCTGATGTGGTAAAGAGCTTGTTACCACTGGCCTCTGTAGCAGCATTATCACTGAGACTTTTAAAGTGCAGGGGAACGCATGCATGAGGACATAATGCTATGCACAGAAGTACAAGAAATGCTTGGGCGAGTGTTTCATAACA